CGTCCACGACCGCCTCGGCGGCCGCCTCTAGCGGCGTCGCCGCCCTCGCCCTCGCCCCGAGCTGCAGCGCCGCCCCCGCCGCCGCGCCCCGGCGCGCGCAGGCGAGGCCCTCCCCCCTCGTCCTTGGCGCGCCGCGCACGTAGGAGCTTCAGCGTCGGCAGCGTTGCGTCGCTGGTGGCGCTCGCACCGCGGCAGTGCTTGGCCATGCTCCTAACCTTGATCTGAGCGGCCTCGACAATGAGCTGCAGCCGACGGCGCAACTTGTCAAAATGGGCGATCGCGGCCGTGCTCGCCATATTGAGCGCGCGTGCAATCGTCGGCATCTCTGCCAGAGTCTCCGGCTCGTGGCGCGACCGATCTGCGTTCGGTAGCGGCGCCAGATCTCGAGCCAGCCGCGCGCGGAGCCGCCGAGACTCTCCGCGCGCTACGGCGCGCGCATCGCCGCCGGCGGCCCCGCCAGCGGCGAGTCGGCGTGACTCTCGGGCTGGCTCTCGCGGGCCACCGCTCGCCACTCCGTGCGCCTCTTACCCAGGCGGTCCACGTCCATGGCGATGGAGGGGGCGGCGCAAACACGACTGGCGCATGATTTTGGGGTCGAGCGACAGACCCGCGCGCGCGGCAGGGCGCGCACGCCGACGGCGCTGGGCGCGCTGACAGGGGGGGCGCGCCGAGGCCGTCAACCGCATTCGCCCGCTTCAGAAACTTAGTGGCGCCAGGAGGAAGCGGTCTGCCCCTGTGGATGCTTCGCGCAGCATTGTCTAGCCGGGCCTGATCCAAGCATCCGCGGAAAAAAAAACTACTTCGACCGAGGTCATGCCCGAACGGGCCAGCCGCTTCAGGGTGGCGGGGTAGGAAATCGTCTGGCGACGGGGGGCACGTGGCGCGAGGGCCCCAGCGCGGCGCAGAAAGCGCCGGCGGGGTGAATTCCCATGAGAGCCCGAAGCTGCTGCATCACGACCTCTATAAAACTGGTTCTCGAATCATATGATGTCCCTTATGGTTCGAGTGCGCGCGTTTGCTGGCTTCGCATTGTAACGCAGCGGGCCCCTTGTTCTATGCCGCTCGAAACTGTCATGGTGCCACAGATTCGAATGACACAGAAGGACAGCGCCAGTTCTTCCAGGCGCGCCAGAATCATTTCGCGGCCGAATGGCTACTTTCAACGCTCCAGAGGGGCGCGCCAACCAGCGTCGCAAACCGCTGCTCGTAGACTCGAAGTCAATTGCGCAGGGCGACAATGGCGCGCGCGACGACGCGCCGACGATGCATCGCGCCGCTGGAATGCGCGCACGGACGGGGTAATTAAATTCGCCAAGGGGCCAGCGCGGCAGCGTGAATCGCGCAGTCAGCGGGGCGCTACCTGCCAATTTTCGCAATATCATGCAGAACACATGTGGCGCTCATGTTTACGTGGCCGGCTCGGTCCTGGGCCCGCCCGCAGAATGCGCGCGCGCTCGCCTGGGGTCTCCTCCTCCTGGTCCCCTGCTGTCGCCTCGCTGGCCCCTGCGGAGGCGTCGCGGTCCCGAGGGCATTTCGCCCGACGGCGTCGGCCAGCTCTGGCTTGCGGCCCGCGCCGAAATCGCCGACGTCGGCGCGCTTCGCCCTGGGCCCTGGCGGCGCCCGGGGCGTAGTTGCGGCGGGCATGGGCATGGGCAGCGCGGAGGTCGACCTCATCGCCGAGCGTGGGCGATGCGAGCGGCTCGCGCAGCATCCGGGCCTCGTCAGCCTCCGGCCCTTCGCGCGCGAGCGGTGCCAGGACCAACGGCCGCGGGGCGACGGGCTCGACGTCCGCGCCGGCTGCGGGCAAGGTCTGCTGCTCGCCGCCAACCCCGCGATGCGTCGTCGGCTTCGTAGATGGGCTCCAGCGGCGCGGCTGCCTTGCCATCCAGAATGAGCCGTGACCGGCCCCCCCTGGGCCGGTGGACATGCCGATCTGCCGAATTCAGGCCTCGACTGGCCCAGTGTCCGGATCGCGGCAGCTCAGGTCTTCCACCCAAGCGTCGCCGTCCAGCGAGAGCACGAGACAGCTGCTGCCTCCCATGGGCCAGACCAGCACCCTCTCGTGGAACGCGTCGTCGTCGCGCTGAGGATGCTTCGCGTCGTATTTTCGACGTCGCCGGGCCTGATCCAAGCATATGTGGAAAAAACTACTTCGCCCGTGGTCACGCCCGAACGGGCCACTTCAGGGTGGCGGGGTAGGAGGTTGTCTGGCGGCGGGTGGGCACGCGGCGCGAGGGCCCCAGCGCGGCGCGGAAAGCGCCGGCGGGGTGGATTCCCAGGAGAGCCCGAAATTTCTGTTTCACGAGTTGAGTTCCCAAATCAGACCGGTTCTCGAAACATATGATGTCACTCGATGCTCGATGGTTCGAGTGCGAGATTGCTGGCTTCGCGTTAATGCAGCGGGCCCCTTATTCTATGCCGCTCCAAACTGTTAAGATTCTCCAGAATCAAACGATAGGAAAGAACGCCGCCAGCTGTTCCAGGCGCGCGCGCGCCTAAAATTGCGTTCTGCGATTTTTTCGTCGCGTGTGCCCCCCTGGCCCAGCGAGCGCACATGGCGCGTCGCTACGGGCTTGGCGGGCGCGCCCTGCACGTTTTCGCTCGATCACTTCACGGCCCACTGGCTACTTTCAATGCCCCGGAGGGGCGCGCCAACCAGCGCCGCAAACCGCTGTTCGAATTCAATTGCGCAGGGCGACAATGGCGCGCGCGGCGATGCGCCGACGATGCATCGTGCCGCTCGAACGCGCGCACGGCCGGGGTAGTTGCGTGCGTCAGGGGGCCCCGCGCGGCAGCGTGAATCACGCAATCAGTGTGGCACACCCTGCCAAATTTCGCAATAGCATGCGGTACATATGTGGTGCTCATGTTTTAGTGGCCGTTTTGGTCCTGGGTCCACCCGCAGAATGCGCGCGCGCTCGCCTGGGTTCTCTTCCTTCTGGTCTCCTGCCGTCGCCTTGCTGGCCTCCTGCGGGGGCGTCTCGGTCCGAAGACATTTCGCCCAACGCCGTCGGCCAGCTCTGGCTTGCGGCCCACGACGTAATCACCGATGTCGGCGCGCCTCACCCGCTGGGCCCTGGCGGCGCCCGGCGCGTAGTTGCGGTGGACTTGGGCATCGCCAGCATGAACGCGACCGCATCGCCGAACTTGACCGCTCCGAACGGAACGCGCCGCATCCAGGCCTCGTCAGCCTCCAGCCCTGCGTGCACGAGCGGTGCCCGGGCCAGCTGCGGGCAGGATCCGCTGCTCGCCGCCAACCCCACGATACGTCGTCGGCTTCGTAGCCTGGCTCCAGCAACGCGGCAGCCTCGCTGTCCAGGGTGAGCCTTGACTGGCTCTGGTGTCCGGATCGCGGCAGCTCATGTCTTCCACCCAAGCGTCGCCGTCCGGCGAGAGCACGAGTCAGCTGCCGCCTCCCTCGGGCAAAACCAGCGCCCTCTTGTGGAGCACGTCGTCCTCGTACCCTACGATGGCTCGGTCCACGGGCGACGACCTACGCAACCACTCCGCCACCGCGTCGAGCCAAGGCGGCAAGCGGCGGCGACCGGCTGCTGGCGCGGGCGCCGCTGTCGCCATCCGCCGTGCGCGCCGGGCTCGGTCCGCGGCCGCGTCCTCGCAGCCACCGCGCCCCGCCTCCCAGCGCCTGCGCGCCCGCCGACCCGAGCACCGCCGCGGCCAGGGCCCCTGGTGGGCGACTCTGGCGGCACCTGGTCTGATGGGCCTGCTTTCCCCCACTACCACCATAGGTTGGAGGGGGGAAGGAAGAGGAGGACGAGGAGGAGGAGGAGGAGGAAGAGGAGGAGGAGGAGGAGGAGGAGGAGGAGGAGGAAGAGGAGGAGGAGGAGGAGAACGAGGAGAGGAGGAGGAGGAGGAGGAGGAGGAGGAGGAGGAGGAGGAGGAGAAACACTCCCCCCCCGATCCAACTTCTGCTGGTGGTTGTGGAGAACAGGCCCATCATGGTCGGCCCCGCCCGTCTCGCACGCCAGCCGGGCCGCCTCGCCATGCTCGAACGCCCAAGCGGGGGTCCCCTCCGGGCACGCCGCCGCCGCAGGTGGCAAAGGCGGAAGCGGCGGTGGCGGAGAAGGGGCACCGGCGCCGGCGCCCGCCCCCCTAGGCTCAGCAGCGCGACCTCTGGCAACAACACCGCCCAGGCCTGGGCTGCACCGCCGCCGAGGTTCATCCGCATGCGGCCTAATTCAAGCAACTCTGAACCGTCATGTCACGTACCGTTTGCTGCAGACGGGGGGTAACTCAATCGGCGGTAGGGCTCCGATAGCGAAACCGGGGGGGGATTGGGATGGGAAGGGGAGGTGGCCAGAGGCGTACCACAATCGTTATTAGCTGCTGCCTCTCTCCAACATGTCACTGGCACGCGATGTAGCACGGAACTCCCAGGGTGCGAGCCGAGCGATCGCTTCGTCTTGGAACGAGGGCGTACACAAGGCGATGTCGAGAGGGGAGGAGAGATGGGAACGGGGAGGAGAGATGGCTCAAACCTCCTCGCGTCATGAAGAAAACGCGACGTGTTTTTGTTGTTGTTGCCATTTTCGGCCCCCCGGAGATTTCACTGGGCCCGTAAGACTGTGTAAAACACGACTTGGGATGAGAAGCTGGTCCCCGGGAAGGGATCCAATATCGTCGTTGCCGTCTTTCTCCGTCGTCGGAACCTCGGGGCACCGTCCTCGACTATGACATGTGATTGGTCGCACACTGCTGCGAACGCTGACCGACACTGAAACAAACAAGCTTGCGCTCACGCTGCACGGTCGAAGCCGGCCATACGGATGGAGCATTTGAATGCACGGCCCCCAGAACGCGCCGCGATGCCAGGGCACCCTCGGACCAAGGAAGAGGGATAGTGACAATACAAAGGAACGAATGCAAACGACGTGCATAGTCGAGGGATGGAAAAGTGCCCTGCGTGGAAGGCTCATCCTTAGCACTGGGTTTGAATGCATCTCTTCTCCCAGGGAGCAGGCAAGAGAAACGGAGGGCGGGACCTCCCCCCGGGCTCGAGCGCAATCTCAGACATGCGGGCCATGTGCATCTTCGCGCTCGTCGAGATGGTGGGGACCTGCGGAAAAAGGAGGATGGGGATGCAGCCCAGATGAAGAGAGAAGGACATCTGATTACGAAGTAGATGCACTAACACACAAACATAAGCATATGTATATGTATATGTATGTGTCTATGAATATGTTGATGTATATGAATATGTATATATATATATGTATGTGTATATGCATATGTATATGTATTTATATACATATACATATCGCCCGCCCATCTGGTGAGCTTGACGCGGACACCTCCTTTCGCCCTTTCGCTCGCACCCTTGCCCATCATAAAACACTGGCACGGCCAAAATCTTGGTGCAAGGACCTGTGAAAGAGAGACGAAGGAGCCTTGCTCCTGTGCGAGGTTTCGACGCCACATATGTGGAAGGATGGAATACATCGCCAAAAGACTGGAGAGTGTCAGCGAAACTGCGCAAACTGGTTGCGATCACTAAAAAGGCAATGTCATCGACGAGGACGGGAAAGGATGAGGATACTGCGGGGGGGCATGACGAAGCTGCACCGAGCACAGCAATAGGAAACTGTCTGGCAAAACAGGAAGCAATCGCTGCATAATGAATGGGAGCTGTGCGGGCGTAGGCAACAACGAAATATAAGACACATCGAGGCGATCGGGCCCGCTGGGTCTCGTCATACAGCAGCAGGAGGAGCCTCGAATTTAACTCCTGCCGTCAGGGGAAAGCCACGGAAAAGGGTCGAGCGAGACAGATTCCAACTTATCGCAGGGCAAAGCACGTCACACATGCAATTGTGTGTCCTGTCCCTGATTCTCTCCTCCCTCCTCCCTCCTCCCTCCTCCCTCCTCCCTCCTCCCTCCTCCCTCCTCCTCCTCCTCCTCCTCCTCCTCCTCCTCCTCCTCTTCCTCCGACTGACGAAGCCTACGGCTGGGAAACACTTGCGAACGCCTCATACTTTTCCAGGTGAGGCCCAGGGCCTAACACTCTCTGTGTGCTGTCGGGCCTCTGGCCATCGACTGGAGGAGTGTCGATCAGGGAGCGTCGGGTGAGGCCTTTCGCCGGCGACGTCCCTACAAATGGGTTTGAAGCCACTGATGCTGGTTTAAAGCCACTGACGCTTTCGCCTGAGACGTCCTCAGAACAATGGGATGCTGAGATAATGAGATCGTGCGCGCATTTAGAATTTGATCACAAATGAGGCTCCCGCCTAAGACATCCTGACAAACAAATCGATGGCGCAACAGGTGCGTTCCGACATCGTCAATCAAAGTAGGGCGTTCGCTGCATACATCATCAAGTAATGGAGATGTCAAATGAGCTTGCGAAAGCGCCGTGTGTTTAAAAGCGGGGCTCTCGCCTGAGACATTCTCAGGAACATAAAAGGATGAAGCTCGCATGTTACAACTGCAGCACTCGCTGCAGACATCTGCAGAAAGTTGAGACGTCCAGTGAGCGAATGTGTGGCTTCTCCCTGAACGAAACTTTCGCCGACGCCAGTCTCAGAAAATGGAGGCGCCAAACGAATGTTCTGCGACATCTGTGTGGGGTTCTCTCGGAGGGCCCCCAAGATGGCCCAAGAGGCGACAGATGCGTAGGCGCCAAGACGGACAGGTCGCCTGCGACCAGTCCCTGGGCGGGACGCCCTCGCCCCGAGGTGGAAACTAAGAAATAAGGATGAGGATGGAAAGATTTGGGACAAGGAGGAGGAAGACGGAGGAGGAGGAGGAGGAGGAGGAGGAAGATGGAGGAGAAGGAGGAGGATGGAGAGAAGAATATGTGGAAGGAGGAAAGAATAGGACGATATTGAAACCGCCATCGGGTGCATGAGGGGGGCGAGGAGGAAAGAGGAGGAAGAAACACAGAACATGAAGAGGGAGGGGGAGCAGGAAGAAGAAGAAGAAGAAGAATAGCCATGATGACGAGAAAAGGACGAGGAAGAAGAATCTGAGGCTCCAGGTAACCGCAATTACCCCAGGAGCCAATCCCAGGAGACCCCAGGAGGCTGCAGGACGCCCCCAGATGACGATGCGCATTCCGAGAAAGTCTGATGCGAAATTGAAGGACCGCGCGCAAGGTCACGCAACACAACATAGCATATAATCGAGTTTCAACTTCTGGCGCGCCATGGTCAGAGTGAGGAAGGGGGCCGAAGGGTTATTCATTGTCCCTGGGTTCATTGCTGAAGTGGCCCTTGAACTTCAACAAAAACAGCAACACTCATTTTAAGACTGCTCGCTCTTGTCTGCTCGCGTGCCATCCAACACGTATGCTGCTAACCCTCGATGCCTGCCCTCTTCGTCTTCGATCGTACCCCCTTCGGGGTATATCTTCCCTACCCGACGCGTGTAGTTGGCGCAACCGCAAAAAACAGAGGAAGGAAGGGAGGGAAGAGGCAAGTGGGAGGGAGAAGGATGGAGCACGAGAGAGATTTGCAAGACGAGGGCCAGGAGCAGGACTGCAAGCGGAAGAACCGAACGGGCGGGTCGGCCGGGCGGACCCTAACGGGCAAAGCGGGCGGGCGGGCCCAGACGGCTGGATCGAGCGGGCGGGTCGCTGATGCGTCACTCTGACACGAATCGCAAAGAAATTCCTTGCGATAGGCAATTCCCAAGCAAATCGTGAGGAAACCTGCAGCGAAACCGCGATTCTAGAGTCTAGGAGGCACGGCGCCGCAATCATTTGTTTGGAAGTGCCACGCGAGGGGGCGATCCATGCATACATTCTGAGGAAGTCCCGCGAAAGACCAGGACTTTGAAATACACTGTCAGAAATATCCAGCGGGAACAGTTGTTGTTGCAGTTGCTGTTGCTGTAAGCCGGGGGCCGACAACATACTTTGAGCAACGCAACTTTCCATTGTGAAAGCAAGGAACGAGCCCCGGGAAAACCACTTTCATTCAAAAACGCAAGGTGCATCGAAGGGGGGACCAACAATAACCATTCTTGATATTTGAACATTCAACGGGTCCCGCCTGGTACTACCTCGCAATGTATTTCAAAATTGCGCTCTCGCGTGGGACTTCCTAGCAATTACTTCAAACGCCGCACCCGCGACGCTCAGGACCCGCGCTCTCGCTCTGGGTTGCCGCATGATGTACTTGGGAACCGTGCTATCGCTCGAGACCTCAAGACTCACGATTCAACACTTGGGACACACGCTTCAGCTCGACCTGGCCGCCTGGTCCTGCCTTCCCGACCCGCCCATTCTGGTCCACCCGCCCGATCAGCCCGTCTGGTTCTGCCACATGTTTTCTGCTCCTAGACCCACTCCTGCTAATCTCTCTCGTGCTCCATCCTTCTCCTTCCCTCTTCACTTGGCAGATAAAGAAGATACGCCCCCAGAGGGGGCACGATAGAAGACGAAGAAGGCGGGTATCAAGGGTTTTGGGTATACGCTTTGAATGGCACGCGAGCAAGTAAGACCGAACAGTCTTTGAATGATCGAATCCTGATTTAAAACCATTATTGTTGAACCCCCTTTCGGTGCACCTTCTGCTTTTTCAAATAATGTGCTCGCAGTTGTTGCCGAAACAACGTTCTTGGCCCCCGAACTACAACAGCAACAATCATTTGAATACTGTTCGCTCTTACTTGCACGCGTGCCATTCAGCACGTCTATCCGAAACCCACGATACCCGCCATGTTCGTCTTATATCGTAACCCCTTTGAGGGAATCTATCTTTCTTACCTGCAACATGTATTTCATGCAACCCCTCCGGCAGGGGAAGAGAGGACCGATGGAAGAAAGGGACACATGGGGAGGGAGGATGGAGCACGAGAAAGAATACCAAGAGGGGGGCTATGAACGGAAAGCGCTTGGCAGAACGAGACGGGCAGATCGGGCGAGTAGACCCTAACAGGCGGGTCGGGAAGGCGGGCCCGAGCGGCCAGGTCGAGCAGGCGGGTTGCTGAAGTGTACGTCCTGCGTGAAACGCGAGGGCGTCTCGAGCGATAGCGCGAGTCACAAGTAAATCGTGAGAGTGGCTAAAGCGAGAGCGTGATTCCTGAGTGTCGAGGGCGCGGCGTCTGAATCAATTGCTAGGAAGTCCCACGCGAGAGCGCGATTGTTGCATACATTGTTAGGAAGTCCCGCGCGAGAACGCGATTTGGGAATACAGTGTGAAGATGTTGTCAAAACCAGGGGCCGCGGGCGCAATTTGGTGACACCTCGCTATCCCTTGTGAAAAGAACGAAATGCAAGCACTGGGAGAAGCAATTCAATTGAAAAATGCGGATGGTTACCGGGGAGGGGGGATCAACAACAGTTCTTTTAGCGGCTCCCGCCCGATAGTTCCTCACAATGTATTGCAAATCGTGCTCTCGCGCGGACTTCATCACAACGCCCCCAGGGATCCTGACCTCGCGTGGTACTCCCTCGAAGCTGATTTTGGCACCGCGCCCCCCAACACTCAAGACCCACACTCTCGGCTTTGGATTTCCTCATGATAGAGATGGCAGTCGCGCTGTCGCTCGAAACCTCCCCGCGATTCGTGTCAAATCGACGCTTCAACGACCCGCCCGCTCGACCCGGTCCTCGCTGGGGCCCGCCCGCCCGCCCGGCCTGCCCGTGAGGGCCCGCCCGCCCGACCCGCCCGCCTGGCCCTGCCGCTTGCACTCCTGCTCCTAACCCCCTCCTGCAGACTTCTCTCGTGCTCCATCCTCCTCCCTCCCCCTTGTCCCTTCCCTCCTCCCTCCCTCCCTCCCTTCCCTCTTCCCTCCTCCCTCCCCCTTCTCCCTCCCCCTTGTCTTTTCCCTCCTCCCTCCCTCCCTTCCCCTGTCTTAGGGGCCGCGCCAGCTACGCGCGGCAGGTAAGGAAGATGTGCCCGCAATGGAGCACGATCGAAGGCGAGAAGTGCGGGTACCGAGGGTTGGTGAACAGCCTGCGAGCAGATAAGAGCCAAAACATTTAACATGTTTTTGTTGCTGTTGCTGTTGCTGTTGTTGTTATTGGTACTGTGGATGTTGTTGTTGCTGTTGCTGCTGTTGTTGAGGCTGTTGCTGTTGATGTTGATGTTGTTTGTTATCGTCGTCCTCGCCTGCGACCCTCTCGCGACCCAGTCGCGACCCACCCCGCGACCCACCCGCAGCCCACTTGCGACCTATCCCGCGCCCGCACCCCCCTCCCACGTATTCGCAACCGCGGGGTGCTGCGTATCACATACATGTCATACTATTGTTTGATATGAAGCCTTACCCGGCTCGTGAGTCCCTCAAAGTTGCGGGCGTGTGTGTTCGCACGGTGATGTTCTTACGTAGAGCCGAACGTAGTCAAGCACACATCGGTACACACACGCTCCTGGTCATCGAACACAGTCAAAGAGTATATCTAGAAGCGTCCTCATACTGTCCTGGCATGGTCGAACTCCATTGTTGCCGTACTTCTCTTGCTGCCGCTGTTGCGGCGGTGACTATCTATGTGTCCAGGGTTCCGACGTAGTTGCTAAAAAACTCAAGTTGTCCCTCAAGACATCTTATGGGTTCTCGACCTCCTTGCCCTCCTCCTAACGTATTTGGTGTGCAACCCGTACTATTGTGTAGTCTGTTGTTTCCTGTCTCCAGGTCAGTCCACGGTTGCATGGGGTTCAACACCCTCCAGACGAACCCCTCGTTGTCGTCAGAACGGGGCTGCGACAGAAATCCACAGGGCCCAGCAGTCGCATTCGCAGCCGAAAGGTAGCCAGTAGGCGCTTCATATCAGGCGCTGGTCCGCGCTTGTAGGCGCCAGTAGGTGGTGTATACGCCAGCGGGGGCTAGCAGGCGCTTATAGGTGTCGCTAGGCGCCAATCGGAGCTTTTAAGAGCTTGCGGGCGCTAAAGGGCGCTAGTGGGCGACGCTGAGCGCCAGTCGCAACTGGTAGGCGCTGGTAGCGGCTGGTAGTGGGCGCTAGTAGGCGCCTGTCGGCGCTATGAGGCACTAGTCGAGGCCAGTGGGTGCCGCAGGCGAGCTCGAGCAGGCGTCAGAGAACACACATTAGCCCAAGCGCGCGCCCACACTGACACGAGGCCAGAAAAGCCTCGCGTGGCCTGTCAAGCTGCACCGGACGTGCTCCCATCCCTGCGGCTCCATGTGCATCTGCTCCATCGGGAGGTCGTTCTCGTCAGTCCCGAAGGGGTTGTCGAGCTGTGCGGCCATCGTGTTTAACGACCTCTTCGGGTTCGGGGGAGGTGTGGTGATGATGACGAGGAGGCGCGCAACACGATGAGAGGAGGATGTGGAGGGACAAGAAGAGGATGAGGAGGAACCGACAGGACGAGAAGGACAATGAGGAACATGATGAGGGCGAAGAGGGAGGGGGCGGGACCTCAGGAAACCACTAAAGATGAAAACAAGTAATACGATGATGAGGGGAACAAGGCTGGGAAGTCGGGGTAGGGAGAAGGGGGAGGAGGCGAGCGGAGGATGAAGATGCGAATGAAAATGGAAGACGGCAAGAGGAGGCGGGAGACGACAGAATGAGGTGGAGTAAGGGAAACGTGATGGGGATTGGGGAAGGGCAAGGGGAGGCGGGGAAGAAAACGGTCGCGGAAGGTGAAATCGAAAGAGGTCGGTAGCAGGGGAATGACAAGATGATATCGGAGAGGGCGGAGGAAACCACAACACAGGAAGCGGAGCAGCATTAGGAGGGGGAGGGATGCTATACAGATCATGAGAGGGGAAGAAGGTAGAACATCAGGGAGATGAGAGAAGGAAGGATGGTCAGGAAACGTAATACACATTGGGGAGAAGGATGCGACGGAGGTGGAGGGGCTGGACCGTCGCGAATTGTGGTGCGCCACAAGAAGGATCCGAAGAGTCAGCGACCGATCACCACCTCGTTCCGCCGCCTCCTCCACCTGCTCTCCCTGACCTCCTCCCTCCTTCTCCCCCCTCACTTCTCCTCCACCATTTTCCTCCTCCTCCTCCTCCTCATATTCCTCTCTCTTCCTCATTTTCCTCTCCTCCCTCCTCCTCCTCATTTTCCTCTCTCTTCCTATCATCTCCCTTCGTCTTGCTCTCCCTGTCCCTTTCCACCTGCCCATCTGGATCCTCCCTCTCCCTTTGCACCTCTCTGCGCCCCTTCTGCCCTCCATCTGTCCTCCATCTTCTCCTCCTTATCTTCTCTTACTGGTCATAATCTCCCTCCTCCCAAGGTGCCTCCAATCCTACCCAAGACATGCCCTGAAACACATTCCGCTCCTCCCTCCCCCTCTCTCTCTATCGCTCTTTCTCTCTATCTGTCTTTGTCTCCGTTTCTGCCTCTGTCTGCGTCTCTGTCTTTGTCTGTTTCTGTTTCTGTGTCTCTTGCACCCTCTCTTTCTGTATCTCTCAATTTCTTTCTCTGTGTCTCCGTCTGTGTTTCTGTCTTTGTGGGTGTTTCTCTCTCACTCCCTCTATGTCTCCCACTCCCTTTCTTCTTCTCCCTCTCTCTCTCTCTGGCAATATGGTCCTCTCCCTTGTCAATGCGACCAATTCCGCCCCCCTTTCAACATCCCTTGTCCTTCTCATCTGCGCCCTCCATCCCCTCCTCTTCCTCCGCCTCCTCCGTCCAGATCCCACCCTCGAAAACCCAAGATCCTTCCCAACTCCACGACAACTCTAGTCCATCCCCTCCTGCACTACTTCCCTTCTAGACGACCCCTCACTGTCGCATGCCCAGGCGATTTATGATACTGAAGCTTGAAATTGTTCGCAGCGATTGCACGTACGGGGGCAATCGTTTTCAAACTGGGACTCTCGCAAAACCGCCGCGCGCTTTCGTTTTAAAAACTTGCAGCCGCTACAATGGTGGATGACAGTCCTTCTTCACAAGGGGTTCTCGCCTGAGCGCCGCTCGCCTTCGTCTCGAAAGCGTGCAACAGTTCCAAGGATGGGCCACAATTCGTTGTCAGAATGAACCTCTCGCTTTAGCTCCGCGCTCGCTCCTTGAAACTCTTTCTCCACAGCTGAAAGGACGGAGGACGCTTCCTGTTCAAACTGAGACTCTCGATTGGGGTTCCTCAGTTCTCATGCTGGTCAGCGTAGGCCCTAAGCAGTGCGTGTCTGCACAGATATGTTGTGAGCATATGTGGTGCAATCTATGTGGTACACCCTATACGTGGCAACATCTGTGGTGCAGTTGAGTTGGAGCAATCTATGTGGTTCAACAGACGTTGTGCGACTTATCCTGTGCATTCAATGCTGTGCCACTCATGCAGTCTATGTGGTGCACTATATGAGGTTCAATATATGGGGTGCTATCTCTGTGATGCAATCTGCGTGGTGCCATATGTGTGGTGCAATCAATGCTGCGAAACCTAGGTCTAGTCATTTATGTTGTGCAATCGATGTTGTACGACTCAAGTTGGTGCAATCTATGTTGTGCAATATCTGTGGGGCAATCTATGCGGTACAATATGCTTTACAATCCATGCGGTGAATTATATATGGTGCATTCTATGTGGTGCAATCCACTTTGACCGTCTTGAAGCTGTCCCCTCTACTGCTCGCGCAAACATCCCACCCACCCACCCGCAACTTGGTTTGCAAAATCTCTTAAGACCGTGACGGTGGGTACCACATGGCACCTGTCAACAACAGCGACGCCGACGACGACAGCGACAACGACGATGACGACGCCGCCGACAACGACTACGACGACACCGACGACGTCTCCAATGACTTCGACGACGCCGACATCGACATCGACGACGACGACGACGACGACGACGACGACGACGACACCGACGACACCGACGCCGACGACGACGACGATGACAACGACGACGACGATGACGACGCCGACGATAACGACGACACCGACGACGACGACGCCGTCAATGACGCCGACGACGACACCGACGACGACGACGGCGGCGACGACGATGACGCCGACGTCGACGACGACGAAGACGACAACGACGCCGACGCCGACGCCGACGACGAAGAAGACGACGACGTCGCCAACGAAGACAACGAGGAAGGAGGAAGGACGACGACGGCGACAACGACGACGACGGCGACGAAATAGGAGGGACGACGATGAGACGCCGACGACGGACGACGACGACGACGAGGGAGGAGGAGGAAGGACGACCACGGCGACAACGACGACGGAAACGACCACGACGCCAAAGAGGACGACGACGACGAACACGAGGAAAGACAGAGGACGACGCAGGCGACGACGACGACGACAACGCGGGAGGAGGGAGGACGGCGACGACGACGACGACGACGCAAGAAGCGCGCGCGCACGCTTTTGTTGAAAATCCGTGTTGCGAAACCTTGTTTTTTTTGGGGGGGGGGGTTTTGGACGCGCGATTTCGAAAGCCTTCCGAAACCGATGGGTTTTGAAGGGTTTCGGCGTACGCGCGCGACGACGCGCGCGTCTGCACTTCGTCCCATTTTTTGCAAAGGATTCTCGCGACGGCACACGCGCAAGGGCGTTCGACAGATTTCGACATGCGCGCGCGCGAAGCCCGTTTGGTAGCATTTTGCGAAAATCTGGAAAACCTATGGTTTTCTAAAGATTTCGCAAGAGCTCGCGCGGAAGCTTTTTTAGCAAATCAGTGTTGCGAAACCCTGTGTTTGGTATGTTTTTTGGAAACTCGATTGCGAAATCCTTCCGGCACCGAAGGTTTTTGAATGATTTCGGCATGCGCGCGCGACGACGCGCGCGTGTGCACGCTCCATTTTTTGCAAGGGATTCGCGAACAAGTGCTATGTTAGAACAAAAAATGTCACCGCATAGTGTTTTTTTACGAGGGAACCTCAGGGGGGGGGATACCAGTTTGGCTGGGATGATATGATTTCATATTTAGGATGGAAGAGTGGTCAGAATCATTTATGATTTACATACCCGAAAGGGGAACGGATAAGTCCGGGGGGGGGGGTAGAGTCTATTCTCCTTTTCGAAAGGAGAATCTACATTGTGCAATTGCTACGAGGCAGGATATGTTGTGCATTCTATGTGGTTCAATATGTTGTTGCTGCAATAGATGGTGTGTAAACGATGTGGTGCAATCTGTATTGTGCAATCTATGTGGAGCAAGCTGTGCGGTGCAATGTATGCTGTGCAATATATGTAGAACAATCTAGGCTGTGCAATAGAGGTTGTGCAATCTACGTGGTGCCATCGATGTGGTGCAACCGATGCTGTGCAGTCGATGTCGTGCACTAGGTGGGGTGCAGTATCCGTGGTGCAATTTCTGTGGTGCGATCCAGGCGGACCCAGTCTCCGTGGTGCAGTCCATTTTCGGGGATGGACAGACCTCCCTTTAGTAAAACGTGGTTTAGTGAAAACGCCCTCGGGCCCAAACCTGGCGGGCGCAAGCCGGGAAAGTGGCGGCCGCAGCGCCCTCTCGAGAACCGACAACGGACAATTCCCTAATCGACGTGTCAGGGTATGAGGTCTGTCCACCCCCGACATTTATGTTGTGCCATCTGGATGGGACGATCCGTGTTGCACGATCTATTTGCGGCGGCGACGGCGGCAACCTGGCCGCCAGACCGGCAGGCAGGCACAGCTCCTCGGAGCAGAAGCGAGTCCCTGAGCGCAGGCACGGCCTGGGAAAGCAACGCCCGAAACCTGAGCACCTCTGGCGCTTCCACGAGTGCAGGGCGGTTCTTTCATCGCCTGCGACGTTTTGGCGGCGCGCACAAGGGGGTGGAGGGAGGGGGGAGGGCTTCTTAGAAGGAGGCTGCTCCTTAGAAGGCGCCGGCCTTACATCTGTAGATAAGGCCCGCGCCTTCTAAGAAGCAGGGGTGCTTCTAAGACGCCCTCCCCCCTCCCCTCACCCCCTCTGCGCGTGGCTGAACGTTCTCGAACGTCTTGGCCGGAGGTGTAGCCATGTGGAACGGTTGCACAACAAAACGGAGGGCGGTCCGGTTTCAAGCCGGGGATCTCGCTGGGCGCCTCGTGAAAGCATGGTCACACCATCCTGCACTCCCTGCTGTGCACTAGAAGGGTGCAACACAGCAAGCGAGGAGGCCCCTGGGGTGCTGGCCTTTCACTGGGGCGCTTCTTGCAGGGAAGGGGCTCGTAGGGACTTCTGCGGAGCGGACTTGGGACGGGAGGGTGCGTGACAGCATCATTGACGGATCTAGGGTGTGCCCTCCTCCTCCTCCTCCTCCTCCTCCTCCTCCTCCTCCTCCTCCTACTCCTACCTCTACTCCTCCTCCTCCTCCT